TGCTAGGTCTGTTTTTTCATTCCAGTTCACCAGGAAAGCAACTATTCTCCCTTCCTCTTCTCTCCTGTCCTAGCCTGGGTGTGAAAGAGCCCACACGAAAATCCCCTGAGCCTCCTTTTACAATCAGCCTCTAGGTCCTCCCTGCATTGCACTTAGGTGCTGAATGGCCTACCTGTGGCTCCCTACTCCTGCACACCAGCACAGGGGCATGAGCAGGTCCCATGCCTGGCTGCAAGCGAAAGCCAAAAGCTGCAGCGTTCCTGGGCCCCGGGGGATTCCTGCTGGGAGAAACGCTGGGAAGGGTATCATGCACATCCTTTGCTGGCTGCATACACGTTTGAGGGTGTTCCCTGGAACCACGACCACCGCTGTCGCTTTGAACAAGGCTGTTACTTCGCAGCAGAAATCACAACTGCTGAGGCTGAGGGGTTTTCAGGCTAGTGGGCAGCCCCCAAATCTAGCCCCATGCTGCCATCAGGAGCCAGGCACAAGTTAAAATGAGAACATGGGCTTGACTGACATGTTCTTTTCTAGCTCCTTCAGCTTCAGTCAAAGCAATGGACTGAAGTGGCTCCTTCCCCAAACAAAATCATTTTCACTTACTGCAGCCCGGCTTCAAAACCTGAATGCAGTGTATCCTGCTACTCCTCCTCATTCAAGCTTGGCACTTGTGATGGGCATACTTATTTTTACCCGTCTATGGTACCTTTAAAGGGCTGGGAATTTTCTGTCCTCAATTTGGAGCCCATGTCAGCCCTATATGGGGAACAAACCCAGGTCTGCTTGCACAAGGAGCCTACATTGTTTCTCTTGATCTAAAATAAATTCCAAGTTAAACTGCACCTGCTCTGTACATGTGCGTGGGGAGAAACTATGACAAGAGAGAAATTTGGGAGCAGTAGCAGAGGGGAGAGCAGGAACATGAGGGCAAGTTTCACTGCTTTTTGCCTGCAAGCACCAAGGCCTCAGATGGGCCAGAGAAGCTGGCCCATCTCACTGGTATGGGGAGGGCAAGAATTTGAAGAGCCTCTGCTGGAGGCAAGAGCACTATGCAGGTGTGCCAGTCTCCGAGAGCGCTCCCAAGTCAGCAACAGGAGAGGAAAGAAAGGGCAGGAGGAAAACTGAGCCCCAGGTTTTGTTGCTATTGCCTTCATTCCTTCCTGGGTCAAACCAAGTCTGAACTCCTGCGCACTTGATCATAAAGGGATCTACAGTGCTGCTGCCCCTGGCCAGAGGAATTTCTGAAGACCCAAATCCATTGACAGCTGCAGAGTTTTCCAGCCCCTAAAAGTCACCATGTAGGTACCCAACAGCGTTTCCAGCACCAGAACGCTCACTTCTAACCCACTGAGCAGCCACTGCAAAAGCACAGCCACCCCTAAATGAAAACATCAGAAAGCCACATCCTCACATCACCCAGCCAGGCCCTATCAGTGCAAGCTCGGTTGTGTTTTCTCCATGAGGTATTGCCCAGGAGCAGTAAAGGGGGGAGAAGGAAAAGGGACCTTAAGCTTCAGTCCCTTTTCTCAGAGCACCTGGGACTGGAGTCTGGGACCTGAGCAGGCAAGTTTTATCTCACTGCTCACTGAAAGCACACTAGCTGAGAAATAGGACAGCTGTCTTTTGCTTGTTGAGGTATGCATGCCGCAGCCCAGGTATCTTTTTATAAATATGCTAATCCACTATCAGAAGTGCTTCAGCTTGTAGGCACTTCTGCCGCACTCCTACCTTTCAGTTCTGTTCCTGGTGAAGCCTCCTGCTTGTCTCCTGCCCACTTGCAGTAAGCAGGAGGGTCGCACCTCTAGTGGAATCAAGAAAGGAAAGGAAAAAATGAAAGCAGCAGCTTTTCCCAAGGAAGTTACAGTCTCTTCTCTCAGCTAAGCTTTGCAATAAGCCTACCCCTGTATCTTGCTAGATGAGCCACAGCATTCCCACCTTCCTGCAATATGGTTTTAATTCCCCTCACTGCCACACATGCTGCTGAGAGATCAGCGAATCTAGCTAGCAGTGCAACCCGCCTCGGTCATGCGGTGCCCTTGAGTACTCGTGAACCTTGTTGAAGACGGAGCTTGGCTGTACATGTTCCAGCACGACCCAACATCTCTGCTGCCACATTAACATTGCCCTTGGCCTGCTCAGGGCTGTGCGCTAACATGAGCCTCCTATTTGTACTTTTATGAAGGTTTAGAGAGCTAAGTACCTTTTTCTGTGCTGGGCCTAATCCCTTTGTGGTGAGCCATTTTTCTCAAACCCACCATAAACAGTTTGTTTTCAAGCCCCCTTGTTAAAGTGGAGCTGTTAAAATTATTTATTCCTGTTTTGTAGAGCTTAAAACAAAGACGACAACCTGTTTTCCTCATGCCAAAAGAACAGGGGCTGACGTCTCCTGGAGGCAGCAGCTGAGGTATGGAGAAAACAGGAGCTTTCTCCTGACCTACAGGATTAACAGTGTAGAAACCAACAGCAGGAACAGATCTAGGAAAGGACCTGCTCCTCTGCTCTTGGGTGTTTTCCATGGAGAGATTCGAGGCAGGGATGTAGTCAGGAAGAACTCAAGACAAGCAGAGTTTACTTATTTTTTTAAGCAATACAAAGTTCGCGCTTTTCATAATAGAGCAGAAAACACTCAATCCTGATGTGCTGCTTATTGCAACACCTCTGACCTAGCAAAGGGTGCCTTTGCTAATCCCACAAAATGGGCCTTCATATTTTTTCTCCCTCTGTGCCAGAGGGAGAGTGCCAGAACTACCATTACTGAAAAAGAAACGTCAGTTCCAGCACTACTGCTAAGTCTCCTATTTCCTCCTGAAGGCAAAAAGAGCGGACAGGATTCACAGACTTGACTGAACCCTAAGGTGGGCCTTTTCCCCATTTTGTCTCTCGAGTTAAGCCTAAAGTCAGAAGTAAATAAATTACTTAATACAGAAGAGGAGATGTAACCTCAGTGGGCAGAACACCACCGCAGGTTGTTCAACAAACATGTAGCCAGGAAAGCTTTGAATTGCAAATGGTTGGTAGTTGGCATGGAAATATCCCATGTGGTTGCTGAGCTTACAGTCTAGCCTGGCCCAGCTCTTGGTGCCTGTCACACTGCCAGGTGTGACCCAGCATTGCTGCTCTCGGGCTACTCACTACAGCTGATTCCTCATGTTTCCCGTTCATAGCCACGCTCGTAGACACTAAACGGATAACAAGTCTTGTGTGGACTAGGTGCAACATTGCAGCATTATCCTTGTGTCAAGTATGTCAGCTAGAAGATGCTAAAAATAATAGCATCCTTAGCCATCACACTGGCAGAACAGGGCATGAACTTTCCACGTCAACTGTAGTACCTGCCTGAAGCGAAGCCTTGCACAAAACTTTCAGTGCAGCCACCTTCCTGACAACAAAACTTCTCCCTACTGGAAACAGGAGCCACTGTCTGTCCCTTCAGTAACTACAGCAAGCGACTGCATGAAAAAGCATTTAAAACAGACTGTTTCTGTGAAAGACTATCATCTTATCTAACACTGACGACTGACACACTAACTTCCTAAGTTGAAAGCCTGATTGCCTACCATCTTGAGCTTAAAAAAAAAAAACATGCTCTAGAGCTGAAAATTGCTACCAGCCTGTGTTGTGTCATGCACAGCAACACATACGTAACACACACCAGCAACCATTTATCCTTTATTACTGACTTCTGATCCTGAGGGCAGTTTCCATTTCTTCTTCACTTCCTCTGCTTTAGAAGCAGCAAATACTGGAGGCAGCTGGGATGGAGCCACCTCCTTTTCTATCATTTACTTCCATGCAATTGCAAAGCCTTAGGGGAGCCAGCACCAGAGCTGCCAAACCCCATCCAAGGAGCAGGAACCACTCTCCTACATCAGGGAGAGAAACAGGCCAGAGGCTTAATGCATCTTCTGCTGACACCAAAATTAACCCCTGAAATAACCTTAGGGGGAGCCACTGTTCACACTGTGGAAAAGCAAACAGAAGAGAATTAGCAAGCTCCACATTTAGCAGCATTTGCAAAATGTTTTAAGGCATATCTGAAGGGGACAACTGGAAAAGTCTCCAGAGGGCCAAGAAACTCATAGCTGACAGGCACAAGGCACAGATAACGGAAAAAGGGTCACAGGCTTTTCAGAGCCCATCTAGCTCTTCTGCAGTTTCTAAGGAGAAATCTCTTAAAGGTGCAAACTATCCTATATGATCTCCTACCCTTGGACATAAGGGAACAATTTAGGCAATTCTCCTCAAGGCAGGGGGTTCTCATCCCCTTCCAAGTTTTCTCTGTAGGAGAAAACGATCTGGCCCAGGATTACAAATGGAGCGTATTTGAGCAGATATGGGTTGCTCCCTCAGCCATCTCCCTGTTACTGCTTTGTATTAAAAATACACAGATGAACATAACATCTAAATCAATGCTTCTCTGTCTTTTTGAGCAGAATAAGGAGAGCACCACACAGCGAAGAGGCTTCAGCACACAGGCCCAGCTCGGTGCTGACTCTGCCAGGGAGCTGACAGGGTCTGGGCCAGTAGATCCCTTTGCAGGACCCATACGTGCAGTAACGAAGGACTGAGTCCAGCACACTGCCACATACAGCTTAGGGCATGGCTCGGGGATAGCCCACTGACTCCAGGTAAGCAAGGGAGAGATGATTTCTTTACATTTGATACATCCTGGCTTTAACTTTATGGACAGTTTAAAGTGGAGATAGGCTTGGTGTGGTAAATAAAGGAAGCAGAAGTGGGCGGCAAAGGAGAAAGCACTTTACGTACAGTCCTTTCAGAGGTGACGTTCAGCATGTAACACAACCACCACCCAGTGAAGCCGAAGAAGCGCGCAGGCAGTAAATGAATTTGTCACAACAATTTCTCTTAACTCCTGCAGGAACAATTGGGTATCAGTTCAGGAACAGTGTATCAAAAATACAGGAATTCACTCTAGTGTCAGTGTAACTTTTATTTATTTATTGCTATCAATATGCACAGTAAAGGAAGAGCCCGTATGGCTATCTCCTGAGTACAATACTTCTATAAATCTGATATTGTGGCATTTGATGGTAACAGATTCACAAGTCACAAGGTGATTTTTCTTAACTGCCTAAATTACAGATGCGCTCCCTGACTGTACTTGTTTTCTGTCCCTTCCAGTATTACATAATAAAGATCTTGTAACTGGAAAATAACCAGAGATGTTGATAGGAAGGTGTAAAGGGGAAAACGGGCTCTAGATGGTTTTCTAATAGCTATTTAGCCCTGTAGGAGCAAAATTTCCTTGTGACGTTCTAGCAGGAAGACATGAGTGAGAAACACAGAAGGATCAGGAGTGTTAAAGAAGAGATGCAAATTTTCCTTTTCCTACTGCATCCTTTGTCATTACAAAATGTCAGCCTTTAGCGCTTTGGTTACTTAAAACATCCCGTTGCCTGGCAGAAGGATATCAGTCAGTAACTGATTGAAGCGAACAGTAACGCACAGGCCACGCCGCACACACCCGCCGGGGGCTCTCGGCATGCTCTTCGGGGCAGCGCACCCTCCCCGAATGCTCCTCCACCTACCTCTCCCCTGGCCGCCAGCTCAGGGCCCCCCTTCCCAGTCTCATCCCCAATTCCTCCCAGAAACAGCACTGGAGTGGTAGGAAGTGACAGAGGTGGCAAGAAGCCAAAGCCTGAGGCTGGACAGCATCATAGTCTGCATGGGTGGCTAAGCAGCCACCCCAGTGTCACTTGCCACAGAGGGTATATGCAATACCCAGGGGCATTAGTGAGGCATGCAGCCCCCAAAGCCCCAGTAAATCTGCACTGAAGATCCCCTGAGCCCTACCTGTGCCTCTACTGCTAACTTGGTCACCTTTGTATCTTTTATACCTTTGTTTCCCAATTTATGCCTCAGGGATAACAGTGTCACTCTACTGATGCTCAGTAGAGCTTGTCACTGTGTAAGCACTAAACAGTGCTGTTACTATGACACGGACAATTAATAGCCAGCTACTTGCTTAAAGAAGGTGGGAGAGGCTGTAAGGTTTGCACAACAAAATGATTCCTCTTTTGTAACATACAAGATAACCACAAGCAGAGCGAATCCTCCCCTGCAGTAACCATGTGGTGAGCACTCGGAAATGGATGGACGCCAGCTACGAGCCTCCCTCCAAATAAGCTGTGCACAGTGCCTCTCCTGTTCCAGCCTGACTATTGCTCAGCTTGCCAGAGGTCCAAGTTTGATCAGGATGGCCTGGGCTGCCATTAAGAGGATTGGTAGGGAGCAGTACCAAGCCCGGGACATGGGCTGTTTACCGCAGCACACACAGAGGTGGCTTCCCACTCCTCCACAGCTGTACTGCCTCACAGCTTGCTGTGGACAACGTTTAATTCTCAAAGTAGCCGTGGGTTTCACCCACCTGTCCCAAAGCTGGTTTTCCAGAGGAGATGAGGAAGCCATCAGAGCTGAATCAAAGGCTTCTCCACCCTGTGTCTGTCGGTAGGTAACGCCTTCTCCACACAGCGCTGCTCCTCCTCTGGCAGTGACACAGCCAGCTGCCCCGGTGTGGGAAGGCACAGGCAGTCTGCATCAAAGCAGTTGAGTTACCTAAAAGCTCTTCTCCTCATATGATCCTTCTGTGAGCCAAATTCACAGCATCATCAGGTTGTCTCCATCTTGCACTGCTATCATTTGCTTGAAACACTGTTGCATCAGGAGGTTGTCTTGTGTCTGATATCATTGATGTGCTTGGGAGGCTGGGACTGCTGCGGTCTTCAGGAAAGGTGCTCCTGTAAAGTGCTGATAATTGGAGCTGTGCAACACGCCACTCCTTAGAGAGGATCAGGCAGAGCAGATAAGCTGTGCCTAACAGGGGTGGTTACACTACTTGGACCATAGGCTAATAAAGGGGTTTCTCAGAAGAACTTGTGTTTGGCAGACAAACTAGATAGCATAGAAAGCACCTCTTCCTTTCCTAAGGTCTGTGGTTCACTTTAACACTGACTGTGGTATCTTGGCAAAACATAGCCTAACATAAGCAGCTGAAGCAAATGGGTGTGATCAGGAGAGAATGGCAGAGCAGGCCTGCCAGGCTACAGGGAGCGTTCAAACTAAAGCAAAGCCACTGTCTACTGAGGGAACTGCCTACACACAACTTTCCCTCGCTTTCCTCACCAAATGGCAAATCTCCTTTCCGACCCTAGTGCCAAATGACTTAATTTTTGCAGAGCTGAATGGCAAGTTGAGATCAGAAGCCCTCTCCCAACAGTTGTCACTTTTCATCCCCTGAGGCAGAATCTTTTTGTGACCTCATGATTTGATAGAGAGTTTCCCGGAAGTGCTGGTCCTGGCTCAGTCTTTTGGCTGCTTCCTTCAGCTCCTGAATGCTATCAGCTTCTGCCTGGGAAAAGATGAAGGACTGGGACTGCTTCACTGAAACGAGAGCAGCACAGAAAGGTCAACGCTCCAAAGAGGAGACACATACTCAAACTCAAGACAAAGTTTTAGAGCACCCAAGCCATGCAGTCAGCACATCTGAGGGCTTGGCAAGGGACAAGCTAACCATTGCTCTCAAACAGCTTCACATTACTGATTTCAGAGGAGGAAAAGGCTGACGGCATGGAAATACGTCTTTCCTCTTTACAGCTGCCTCTGAAGTAAAGTTTCTTGTAGAAGCTGATCTAAACTTGAAGTTTGCCTGCTTTGAGCACTGCACTGGACTACATAAGGCCCAGATGTTCCTTTCAACCAAAATCAGTCTATGACTCTATGATTAAGCAGTCAGAGGAAATCAGCTTTAAGCACATGTTTATGCTGGGGCATAAACACATCCCAGCAGTTAATGCATACCTTTCTGCATACATGAAGAGAGAGGCAACTAGTATGCACTCAATGCCTGCTCTCTGGACACAGAAGCAACAAGTTTTTCTTTCTGTAGCTCTATGGTACTGCTAAGGAACAAAAATGTATACCAATTGCAGACCTTACTGCTCTTTCAGCCCCATCTGCACATCTCTGCTCCTGCTGGATATAAAGGAAGAAGCAGCCCAACACCTACAGTCATTCCATGAAGCACTAGCTCTCCGGCGGTGAAGGCGGCAGCTTTTTATGCGTCGAGTGGCAGCCTTATGGATGTACACGGAGTTCTTCATGATCACGGGCATCTTGGCCTCCAGCTCGGCATTGCGGATGCACTCTTCAAAGAACTCTGAGGAGAGGACAAGAGTGGTAACAGCAGAGATGCTTCAAGCAATGAATCAGTTACCCGGGGTTGCCATTGTTGATGGGCTGAGCTAGGAAATGACATTTGATAGTTCCCTACAACTTCTTCACAAACAACAACCCACAAAGCTCCAGAATATCACCACGATGATCAAGTTCGGAATCACAGAAACCTCTAGTACCCAACACATGGATGCATACTCAAATTATGGAAAGAATGGCAGTCACCCATTCCCCCTCAGCCATTCCCACAACTGATTCAGTAGCCAAAGCCAAGTTACTCTTCTCTGACATTAGAATAAGTCTTCTCTTCAACTCTCTAGAAACTGAGTATGCTGAAGCTGTCTTATTGGTGCTTTCTTTCAAGGAACTCTAAAGTCAGTCAAATCTGGACCTATCTGGAAAAGGATGGGTTAGCAGCACTGGCATGGATGAGCACACCCCAACCATATAGGGCCAGGGATTTCTTCATACCCATAGCATATACAAACATAACATGCTCCAATTAAAGCCCCATTTCCAAACTCTAATAACTATATTCTGCCCCGATCTGCCCCAGTCCTTTCTTATCCTTCACCCACTTCCCTCGTATGGTCTAACCAACATATATAACCAACACAGCCTTTGTTGTCTTGCTTTCCTCTCTGATCCCTGCCTGTAGCGGGTCCCTTGCTGTTTAGAGGGCTCACACATGACTGCATCTCAGCTCTGGTGTGAAAACACAGGGTAGAGCTGCAGCAATTACTTGGAAGGGCTGAGCTGTGTGAAAGATGCTATTTGTGCTGGGGATGATGTTAAACATCCCTCACTTTCTCCAGCGTTCTGCTCGTCAGCACATCTTTAATCTTTACAATCCCCCAAAATCTATGACCAGAAATGAGTGTCAGAAGATGTTCAGTGCCAGAAGTTAGCTGCAGGTAAAAATTCTGTGCAGGTAAAAATTCAGCTCTGCCAAAGCATTGAGCTCAATGAGTCCATTTTAACCCTGTTTCCTTATCCTGGCTCTGAGCCAGCGTAATGAAGTTCAGAATCATGCCCTTGGCCTCAGTTTAGTAATCTGATTTAGAAACCACCGAATAATGATTATTTCATATATGTGTGTGTGTGTGTGTGTGTGTGTGTGTGTACATGAGTGTGTGTGTGTGTGTGTGTGTGTGTGTGTGTGTGTATATCAGTCAGTGCTTCAGAATTCTACATGACTTTAATTTTTCTATAACAGCCCAAGACATCTACGTTTCACTGAAATGAATGCTGTGTAGATACAGCATCTCTCTAACAGCTTCCACCTACACTGTACTTGAAGATAGCAAAAGAGTAAAATTTCATCTAAAGCTGCAAATATCAGTTCCAAAACCCGACTCAAAGCCAGATTCTAGGGTAATGCCCCATCTTAAAAGAAAGAAAAAAAAAGAAAAAAAAAAAGCAGAATTTCAGCAATAAGCCATGGGAAACCTTAGGTTCACATCTCACCTGCCAGCTGCAGTTGTCTCACCATGGCAATGCTAGGCCAATGCAGTGATTCAACTCTGAGTCAGAGTCCAAGCTTCACTAGGCTCAGTCACCTACCAACACGTTGCTACAGCAACCACAGTGCTTCTTTAACCACTGATGTTCTAGCAACGAAGGCTGAGAGAAAAGATTGTCTTGAGGAGAATCAAAGGATTCTCACAACTCAGACCTATTCAGTCTTCACAGCTCTGCCACAGCTTTCCTGTTTGACCTTTTGGAAAGTATTTACTCATCTGCACCTCTAGTTTTGTTTTCCATTAAACAAGCAAGGCTGGAGTAATGACGACCATTCTCAAAGGAGTGCAAAACACCAAGTGTCTATGTAGCACGTTTGGACTCCTCAAAGGGAAGGCATGATGGAGGTACAAAGTGTTGGAGCATGCACTAGGTGCAGCCTTGCTAATTTAGAAACTCCTTTTTGTGTCTGGGAAGATGAGTAGTAATGGTTCCTCTCCTAGGACTTGTTCATCAATAGAGAAGACAGATGACTGACTTACTTCTCAAGTTACTGACATCTGCTTTCATTTTCTCCTCTTTCTCCTGGTTGCGATCCAGAGAATTTAAGCTTTGCTCCAAGCTCTGCAGTGCTTCCTCAGCTTCCCTCAGTCTCTTCTCCAGATCCATGCGCACTTTCACCTCAGCCTGAGGAAGAGAAAGAAAATAAGTATTCCTGAAAAACAGCTTTTAAAACATAAGCTTCCTGCTGATTCACAAGGTCTGTAAGGGACCCAACAAAGCAGATAATATGAAAAGACAACAATAAGGGAAAACAACAGAAACAAAATATGAAAACACAAAAGTTGTTTCTCATGTTTTCAGACAGAATCTAAACTTGATGTTGAGCTTGTTTTAGTAATTCTCCTTTACTCTGACTTCCAGTTTCATTGCTGCCCCTCACTATATGAGCCACGTGGAATCAGAGATGATAATTCAGCACATGAATTTGTACTCAATCAAGTGTTTGTAGCTGAGCAAGAATAAGAGGAAATCTTTCTGGCTGAGGCAGACTTGAGATAAAAGGCAGTGAATTCCCACATAGGGTTGTGCAGTATTTAGAATCAGATAGTTTAGGAAACAGTACAGTGGTAGTTTAGCCTATCTGAGTAACGAGTATAGCTTAGGTTAGCTTAACTTTAGTTAGGCCAAGTGGAAGGTTACAGGACAAGAAAATCTTGGAGGTGCGGTTTTTTTGACCAAAATAAATAAATAAATAAATAAATTTAAAAAAAGATGTTGAGAGTCAAACAGCCAATAATACGCATAACTTTTACCTTGTTTGGATTAAAATAAAATAGCATGACTATGTCCAATTACCTTTGCATAGATTATTGAGGTATTTTCCGTTACTGGGATAACGAAAGAAAGGGCTGGCACCCTGCCTGTGTTCCGTTTTTGAACCCAAGGTTACGCAGAGGTTCTCATCTATGGATGGCCAAATTGAGATGTTCAGACTGATTCACTGAACATCAGTGAGATAAGGAAGGTTTCTGCCCTATTCTATAATTTACATATTAAATGTTTCCTTGAAATATTCTTTATTCTTGATTGCACCTACCTGTTCTCTTTTACTTTTTTTCCATCTTCAGATGATGCTTTCACAGTAACAAATGTAAAGAATTTTACTGAACAAGTTATTCAGCCATTAGAATGAGAAAATAAATGACAGTGCTACATAGGTATGACATAGTAACCTCATGTGTTACCATGAAATGAAACGTAGCAGAAGATTGGGGACCATAGAATGAAAAAAAAAAAAATAAAAACAAGTCTCTCCCGCTTCATGGAGGATGAACTGGAAGGGAAAGGGAGGGAAGTCAGGGCCTATGGACAGTGATTTGTGACATGTGTGTGTGATACCTTGAGGTCTCTCTCTGTTTGCTGCTTTTCTGCAGTCAGCTCTGAGAGCGAGTGCTGCAGTGCTTGTGACTGGGAAGAATAAAACTCCCGCTCCCGCTCCAGGGCTCGGGACCGCTCCTCGTTCTCCTTCATCCTAGAGCACAGCACAGCAAAGGAAGATCACCATTCCCACCCCAGCACTACTCACAGGAAGCAAGGGGCTCGATATCTTCATGGACTATGCTTAACTACCTGGTTAGCCTCAGCAAAGAGTCACTAAGGGGACGGTTTCCTCAGAATTATCTGTGTTTCACATCAGTAATGCGGGCATTGCTAGAGAAAGAGCCAGGCGGACAGTTCTTGAAAGGGATATTCTCAACCCCCAGAACAAGTCCATGAGCACTAAACGCTTCCTGTGGACAAGTCCAGGAGCACCAAACGGATTCCTGTGCCTCAGCCCTGATATGAAAGGAGCAGGCTCCAGTGCCAGCAGGTTCAGCTGCCCTGCCTCACTCTGCCTATCTTCTTTGAAGTGTTCATAACCTGAATCCCTGCCACAGGAATCAGATAGGCCTCCAGGCTTGTTCTGCACTAGCAGCCAAAAAGCCAAGATGGCCACGTCATTTGTCACAAGAGAGCTAGACCAGGGTAACATTGGCCTCTTCCCTTTATCACGCTCATGAATTAAAATTATAAAGGACCTCACATGTGCTCGTCTCAGGTAAACGGGTGAAAAGTTTGCACGTGATCCTAGTTGTAAGACTGGACATATCTAGCCATGCCCCTTCCAATTGCTTTACATCTTTAAGGGAGGGAGGGACAATTTATTTTCCCATGACCCCTTTCCCACTGTAAGGCAGCCTGTTTCATACCCCTGTCCCGGGCACCCTTCTAAGAGCCGCTGCCCTCACTTCACCTCTTCTCTGCCAGGAGTTTCTCCTCCAGAAGTTGCTGCATCTTCTCTTCAATTTGTTGCAGGCTGCAATGCAGCCCCCAGCTGGGGCTTTGTTCTTTGCTGGGACTGGTTGGAGGTGGGAGCTGACTTTCATTCTCTTCCAGCATCTCCAGCGTTCGCTGCTTTTCCACCGAGAGCTCCTCAAGGAAGGAGAAATAAAGACTGTGAGCACCAACCAGGTCTAAAATTTCTGCTCCTGTTCCTGCCTAGCTCTTCCCTACTGAGTCCCTCCATCCTTAAATCCATACTCCTCACTCAGGTTAAAAACAACAACAACTAAATCTAGTTTTCCCTTCCTACCTGCCTCTCTCTGAGATCAAACTTCCACCATAGCTTTTGCTTATGCAGGTGAGCAGGCATAAGTCTTTGACATAATATGCTAGTAAGGACCCAACTTCGGAAATGCAGGCTTGTGCTTCGCTAGTGCATCCCTCATGCAGGCTTCCTTGCCTTTCCAATTTTCTCTTCAGGTCTTTCCTCACCTCGCTCTTAAGAGTGAGCTAGAAGCATTCCCTCTGTGGAGCTTCTGGCTACAGGGCGATAGGACATGCACTGTTTTCCTGTGAAATGCTAATATATTGTGTAACTAAAACATGCGTGTTCCTTCCAAAAACTTCCCAGTTCTTTTTGCACATGGATAACTGTGAGCAATGAGATTTCAGAGGAACATCAGCAATAAATTTTTGGACCAACCCGCAGGATTTGACAAGAGCATTAAGGGTGAGACTGAGGCTTCAGCAGTCCAGTTGTGGGAAATGTCTCTTTTAAATGTATGTCATTTTTGAAATTTCCACACAAGTTCCACCATCAGAGTGATGCCAGGGAAAGAAAGGGTTTAATATGTCAGCACTCTGCTTCCTAAATTCCCATGAGGTACCTGATTCTCTGGGAACCATATTCAGTTCTGTGAACAAGCAATGCCTCCCTGCTGCTCTAATTTCCACCAGGGCAATAGCTTTGGGAGCTGCAGCTCAAAAACATCAGAGAGCTACCGCAGCATCATAACCATGCTGGTTGGAAAGGACATCTGGGAGCCTCTAGTCCACCTTCTGTTCAGAGTAGGCTCGTCAACAAAAGAAAATGAGGTCAGCTGTGGCTTTGCATAGTCAAGTCCTGAAAACCTTTCAGGATGAAGATTCCACAACTTCTCCTGGTGCCTGTTTGACCCCCACCTCCACCTGGTAAAATTTTTTTCCCTGACATGCAGCCTGAGCTTCCCAAGCTGCAGCTTACGGTTATTACCCTACATCATGCCCTCTGGCACTGCTAAGACGACTTTAGTTCTGTTGAGCTCCTTGATACCTCTAGCCCTTTTCTGAAGGGGATTTTGCCCTTCATATCTGCTACTGAATGAATCAGTTAATCTGCACAGGATTCTGACACTAGCAAATTTGAGATTCATTCCATACGACAGCATTGCTTTCAGCCCTGCTCACTTCTCAGGGATTCTTCCCAAAACGCTGTCACCCAGAAGAGAAAAGTGGTCACTCACCTCCAGGGTTTTCTGCAAAGACTGTGTCAGGCTTCGCAACTCTTTCTTTTCTTCTTCCACTCCTTTAAGGGAGTGGGCTGTGAGCTCTAGCTCCCTAAAGAAGCAAAATTGGTGATAGCTATTGGAGGGGAACAGTAGCCACACAAACTGCACAGGCTGTGGATTTTGAATGCAGGACCTGCTACCAGCGGTTTGTACAGACAGCCATCAAGACTCAGAAATCCCAGGCAAAAGCGTGCCAGAAAACATTGTGCCTTGAACATACTACAGGTGTCCAGGAACTTAACTGTGCTTCCTGCCATTAAATCAAACACAACTGTTAGTGTGTTTCTTAAGCAAGGTCCAAGGTTACAACTGGAAGAGCTCAGATAGGGTACTTTTCTGTAAGCAGGTATATTTCTACCAGAACAAAAGCAGTTTACAAATCCCACCAGTTTTTCTGAGATATCATTTAGGAAAAAAAAAGGAAAAAGAGGGCAATGGCAGAACATGCCCTTTCAACATTTAGAGCAAAACATTTGAATCTTTCCATTTCTAAAAACATTTGTTGTTTGTATTTTGGAGAGTAAAACTTAAAAATACAAAATGATTCTCAATGAGACAACTTTCACATCCACCCAGTGTCATTCAGCTGATTCCCAAGCAATCGTGCAAAACTATATTCAGATGTCTGGAGCCAATCATGGCTCACGAGAAGAGCAAGAAAGCTGCCCCTCTGAAATACCCTTCTTTAACACCTGTCTGTTGCCATGCTACCCAGACTAATCTGGGGTTTGCTCCTGTCCCAGTCCCCTTGGAAAGGAGATTGCTGGAGTCCTAAATACAAAATGAAACTAAGCTGCATTCTATCGGTCACACAACCGATCGCAAGTGCTGGTGAACAGATCTCAGCCACTTCTGTTTCGGCCAGTATTGCATTTGTCCCCTTCCTGCATACACAAAACATGTGTTTTACCCACTTTTTTGGTTCACAGCCACACCAGTGCTTCTATCCAGCGTGGGAGTTCCTGTCCTTTTCCTGCCCTGTCCAGTTTCCTCCCTTACCGTCTGATTTGTTCCTGCTCCAGCCGCAGTTCCCGTACCACCTCTTCAAACTGGTGCTTCTCTGCTTCCAGTATCTGGTTTAGACGCTCAAGTTCCTGGAGACAAGGAGGAGAGGAAAGTACCCTGCTGATATGTTTAAAGTTGGAGTGGCTTTCCTTTTGATAACACCTGTGACTTCTAATATGCACTTTGTAGACCACTATATCTGATTTCTCCACATTTTTCTCCAGAGGCAATTAGAAGGGATGGAAGGTTAGTTAAGGATTTACAGACACTGAGTAGTCCCAGCCAGGCTATCAGGCATCTGGGAATCCCAGACATGACCCCTGCACAGATCAGCTGTGCAGCACATGTACAAAATGCCCAAAGCCTCCTAGGAAAGTTGGACTCAGTGTGCACTACTACCCCAGGCATCCACATGTGCAGACACAGAAAGCCTGGACAGACACACGACAACCCCCCTCAAGCTAGCCTGGCCCCATCTGCTCTTTGCAGGCAAAGAAGATACTGTGACCAGCTTTGTAAGAGCAGAGATTTATCCCAGGGTCTTTGGACAAGAACACTTTCCTCCTTGCGTTTGTGGGTTATGCCGCAGCCTACACCACCAGAAAGGGATGTCTCACTGTAAAGAGAGAAGTAGCTTAGCCCTAAAGAAGTGGCCAGGCCATCTTTGGACTTTAGCTCTGCAGGAAACTAAACAGGAAAAACGTAAGCCTGAGAAGCCTAGATAAGCACTGTCGTCTTTTGCCAAACAGGGGTGACGGTCACTATGGATTAACTGGTGAAGAGAGTATGGGGCAGTCCGCAAGACTGTAATGGGGTGTTCTACATCTGTGCAGGTTTTCCTACAGTATAATAGGACATCCCGCCTGCAAAGTTATGTTGCAGTAACATTATAAGGCTGATATAAAAACTGGTAAAGATTTGGCTCCAAGGTATAGGAGAACGAGCTAGATTTCCAATATTAAGTAAATATAATATAGCTCAGAAAACAATAATAAGCTTGGTAAAACAGGTATGATAGTCATATCTAAGGGAGCACTCCCTTGGGGCTTTCCCTAGTTCAATATGTATTTTAAGAACCAGCAACATTGCTTTTTTGCTCCTTGCTTCTCATGATGGGGTTTCTACTCTAGAATATCATGTCTGGGGTTTTTTTGTTTGTTGGTTGGTTGGTCTGGGGTTTTGTTTGTTTTACTGTTTAGGCAGACAACTTTGTTGCCACAGTCTTTTTGAATCTACCAAATAAAAAGCATTAAATTCATCCCACTGAATGTGAACTTAATCCAATCTACTTCCCTTGTCCTTGTGGAGACATAATCAGGTAAAGGGTGCAAATAGCATGCTCCAATGAAAGGGCCTGGAAAGGTGAGCAGGGATACACCTCCAGGACCCATCCCATGGCATGACTTTTATTCTTCTCTTCACCCATGGAGAACCCAAAGAGTGGCTGAAGACTCCCTTTGCTCCCCAAGCTCCTGCCCCCAATCCCAGGGTGCCCTCAAACCAACAGCTCCCAACTCCCAGGTCCACCTCTTGGAAGGTGAAGGGATTTGGCTTGGAATTGGTGAGGGACACTCACCTCTTTTTGCTCCCTCTGCAGACAGAGTTCTTCTGTTTCTTCCATCAGCTTATCTGCAAACACACGCATACAAAGGCAAAATGCAAAGAAAAGCAATTTATACCCTGGGAACGTTTATGAGCATGAAGCACAGACTGTTTGGAGCTTGAACATGCAGTATTCCCTATTGCTCTGTGTATATCTGTCTGGGAGGCTACAAAGGCTAAAATGAGACTAATGGGATATTCTGTAAACTCTCTCCTGTGAAATAACTGAATAAAGTAAACAACTGCATTACAGCATACTCTGTCTAAGGTTTCCTCCCAAGATTTTCAAAGCGCATTAACAAACCAACCTTCACCATCTTCCAGGTGAGTTAGGAAAACATCCTTATCCCTGCTTCACACGTGAGGAAGCCAAGGCACAGAAAGGTTAAGTGGATGCACAAGGTTGCACACTGCTTAGTGGCCAGTCAGGAGCTCTCACGCAGTTCAGGGCTCTGTCCTTCCCTCCCAGCACATCACGCTCTCCTCCAGCCCTTGGGACATCACTGCTAGCTCCCTAGTGCTACATTCGGATATCCCAGACACACCTAACCCTCACTGCCCTCGGTGCTCTCTCATGATCACAGCTCTCTCACTGCTAGGAGACTGGGTCTTCCAACTTCCCCTCTAGAGTCAATGGAGGCCTCCAAAGCATCTCCAAAAACTCTGCTGAATGTGTGGGGAGCTGTTGCTCATATGAACAGAGGTCTCACTTCACTAAAACTCACTAGATGTATTAGATCATTACTAAATCTTGCTTTACTAATTATCAGGAAGAGAAGAGCTTTGCCTGGAAAGGCAAAGGCTGGTATGGCCCTTGATGAAACATACAAAGTAGACTGACAGATGGGTGATTTACATTTGATAAGGAAGGTATCTGGGATTTTTATCAAGTTGTAAGGTAAAAAGCATCGTAATCTGCTAGAGGAAATATGCTTTAATCAACTGGAAAAAAGTAGTTTTGACAGGACACAGAGCATACTGTGCAATGTTAAGTAAAGACAAAATTATAATTACGTTATTGTGACATAAACGTAAGAGGAGTTGTGCTAAGTCAATAGAAGATGGTACCGTTGGTTTGCTGTAGGGCCACACATCCTATGAATGAACAAATAAGCTACATTATACGGTTTGGAGATTTAAATAAGGTGTTAAATAGTTCTTAGGAGCTATTCCCCACAGTGAAGTCTTGAAGGTTGTTGCTCCTCGTTTCCATTACACCGGTGTTACGAGTAAAGCTTGCTTGTTAAAATTGACTTTGATTTTAGTGATAAGAGTGGATAGCTTGTATTTTGTTTTTTTTTTTTTTTAACTGTGCAAACACAAGTTCCTATAATAGCTTTGTGCATGACTATGGGGAGGATGAACCTAACATATTTAAACAAAACTGACTACAAATGGACTAGATACAGTTACAGAGCCTGGAAAAATCAACCCCCTAGCCTAGCTACCTACCTTTTAGCTGAAGTCAGGAACCGTCACCATCAGTTGCTCATTTCCATGGAAAACACATGCCTACCATCAACTCCATTCTGGTGCTTACTCTGTGATCTGATATACCCTCTCTGTGCTGCGCACCAACCTTAAACAGCAACGCTCTGTAGTCATGGTGCCTGTCCCCAGTATTTGGTCCCCTTAGTCATCTTTCAGCGTTGGAAGCTTAAGAGGAAACCAGATAAGTAATAGAATTTTTTATTATTAGCTCTTCCTAAAAGCTCTCCCAGAGTTACTGTCAGCCCATGAGGAGTCCTGGGGTAGGGAAATAAACTGAGATGAGTTCCTCTTAGCTAAGCCTGGTTAACTCAGTTCTGTCACCCGGCCTCTGGGCAAGCACAGACCTTGTGATTGAGTCTTGCCCATGTCAGATGGGGAGGATGCTGACCTCAAAACTTGACTACAGGAGGGACACAGATCACTGAGTGTGAGGCTAATAATAAGGCAGAAGCCTCAGCAGTTATAAAGGAATAAATAGATAATAGCTGTCAAAGGAAAGTAACCGACTGTGACAGTTCACCAGTTGTGAATATTCTTGTCATAGACAAAGAACACAGTGAAATATATAAAATATATAGAGCTCCTATTTGCCATGGAAGGCGCATTCCTCTATTCCTCCATCAGCTTGAATTTATCAGACTGGGGCCCTGAGCTCTGCAGTCTGCTCTGTTAGTTGCATAAGAAATGGTTTGGCAAAACTTTCCTGTTTTCAGTCTTTTCACCTATCTCTCCTGGTCCTCCACTCAGCACTTCTTGTCTCTTTACTTGTGAAGCATGGACTGTTCCTCCCCACATCAAATGTGAGTCTACGCATCAGCTCACACATGTAAATGGCATTGAGATGGTCAGACTGAGCACACATGGATACTTAATTATGACCACTGTTAAAAGTGACACCATATATTGAGATCATCCTTGACCAGCACGGACACAGAAATGCAAAGGTTTTCAAGATTACTCCAGTGGCCTGATGATTAGGAGGATACCAGGAGCTGCTGCTTAAGAAGTCACCATCTGGAAGCACTCAAAGGTACTGCTAGCTGGTTTAAAGCGGGTGATGGTCCAGGCAAAATCACTGTGCTCACCCGTACACCCATCAACCACTGGGCTAAAAGGAATCTTAAGTAGAGCATTCCCCAAGTTGGGCATAATTTAGGGGGCATCTGGATTAAACAGGCTGCTCACCCTTGGCTCTTGCAACAGGCAGTGTGGAGAGAGACAGCAGGAGCTCCTGAGGCAGTCAGAGCACCCAAGGTACCGCTGGCTCTCAAGTAGGGAGTTGGACTGGATGGCCTCCTGAGGTTTCTTCCAACCTAAATTATCCTACAGTCACCTGGAGTAACTGTTCTCTCTCTTCATTGTCCACAGAGAGAGTGGTGGTAAATTGACACTCCAAACGAGCCCGTATAAACGCTCCTATTTTCAACATGAATAGCGTGGGCGAATGCAGGCAAAGACCAAGAATAAAATCCATCTAGGGAAGGAAAATCTGTGTACAAAAAAAAGCTGTGACCAGCCTGAGAAATACCACTCCTGTGTGATTCAGAGTCACAGAGGTACCAGCTGTTTGCCTGGCAGGCAGCTCCCTGGGAACTAAAAGCTGAAATCGGCACATCCAAACTTCCCAAAGGCAACAGTTGTACAGTCCGTCCATCAGGAGCTACAGGATTACAACATGCTGGCCAAGAAACATACTTCCTTTCATACTCCACGCCGACGTCCATCCATATCTTACGCTGTAACATTCACTTATGTTTTGACTCCCTTTAAAACCTGATTTTCAACTGCTGGCTATTCAAAGCCTTCATCCAGTAAAAATCATCAATAAAAACCCATATTTGCTTGGCTTGACCATACTGGCAATTCCAGAAAAGCAAATGGCTATTTTGAGTTTTGTGGCTTTTGGAAATAAGAGTTTCCTACCTAAGTACTCCTGTTTCTCCTTGGCCAGCTGAAGTCCTTGGGCTTCCAGGCTCTCGATCATTGCTTCTCCCAGCTGGGCGTTCTTCCATGTCCTAGGGAAAGTAGGCACAAAGCAGGCAATAAAAGAAAGCTAAAACTCTCGCAGAGACAAGTATGGGGCCTAGAAGTATTTCAGCCTAGAAATCTACCAAATAATTCAAACACAGAGACTCTCTGTGATGTCAGTGATGCTCTGATTTTTTCCCCTGAACACACACACGACTTAGAGAAATTTCCCTGACACTTGGGAAAGAGAGATTTTCCAGGAGCTGCACATCACCACAGTACAGCTATTCAAATATTTCTCTGGTGTTTTGGAGACTGGGTTCTCCAGGCCAACCCTGTGCAGCCACCAACTGCAACAGGATGTACCTGGAACCCATTACATGGATGCGGACAGACAGTTAAGAACCAGATTTTAGCTTCTAACTTGGCTAACTTCCCATGATGCATCCCACCTGCCAACTGCATCTCCTTCTCCAGCCTTTCCAATATTTTGCTCTATTACAGCCATTCTTCCCCTTTAAATATTAACCCTTTATTGACTTCTTCCCAGAGTCTTCAGCCTTTCTGGTATCCATTATCTATCTACCCTGGAACCAACTAGGAATCACTTCCCAGCTAAACTAGTAAGGCACTGCGATTTGGTGTCTTGCCCTTCACTGTCTGTTAAGTGCATCTCTCTGCCTAAACAATGAAGAATCATAAATAAAAGCCAAATGAGATGCTGACAGGTAAGGAGAGTTAAGGGAAATGGGCATGTTAAAAAAGTACCTTGCATGACTGTAGCACTATCAGCCAGAAGATCTCAAGGTCCCTTGCAAATATTATGAAACTAAGCTACAAAAGTGTTCTGTGGGGCAGATACCCATTACTGGTCAAGTTGATGGACAGGGCAGGCTTTAATATGAGATTAAATAGCCAAGGACAAACAAATCAAAAATAGAACTGGAAATGAAGTTTGCTGCTCACCTCTATTCTTGATCCATTAGAAAACAATCTCTACATCATAAAATATATAAAATGCATGCATAAAGTGCATCCCAGTCTATTTATACAGATGCATATACAGGAACAGCAATTGCTGCCCAGAATTTGTTAAATCATACAAACCTTAAGGGACCTTATGAATTTTAAATACATGTAAAACTTCCGGTATCCGGCCTCTTTGCGAGCCCCTAAGTTGTAGTTTTTCAGAAAGAATAGTTTAAATCATAAGCTAACAACCTCCTACAAAACAAATTCAAGGCAGCCTGTACTTTCTCTCTTAAAAATAAATAAATAAATAAATGCCAAATATATTAACACAAATTACCCCAAGGACCAAATAGCTCACAATTCCAGCAGCCAAAGTACTGTCTTGTGTTCTTTGCAAGCACATGGGTTTCTTTTCAACTAATGAGAGTCTAGGATATTTCTAAAATGCAGAGGAAATTAGAACACTAATTAAAAAGGTGATGTTTTGCCCGCAGGTAGACCTCTTCAACCTGAGTGAGAGCGTGTGGGTGTGAGTGTGTGTTTTCCCTGTAAAGTGCCCTGATACAGGATGAATCTGATCCCAGAGAAGCCAACAGCAAGCAACACAAGTGGGCGTTTTGAACATCAGGGCTGGAAATTGGAGCAAGGACTAGAAAAGGGCTGGCTCTGTGAAACAGGCAGCCACCCAGGGCTTCCTTGTGAGAACCCTTCCTGGGCTGTGCAGCCATACTCTCTCCCTCTGCACTCAAAAGAGAGATCATTGCCCAGGGCAAGAATTTGGGGACCAAACTTGACACTGATGCAAGCAAGTGCAAGCCTGTGCTATTCAAGGAGAACCTCTGGATTACTCATGGGCTAAAACTGGACCCTCCTCTCCTGTACAAACCAAGCCTGCTCAAACTGAGCCGGTGACAGAGCCCTGCCTTGGGCCATGTGTCCCTTGCACTTCGTCCTGCCAAACCCAAGCAGCCCCCGACTGCGGCACTTGGGGATCTAACGCCCTGCTCGCTCTCCCATGAAGCTTTAATTGATAGCTCTGTGGCACAGCCCATATCGCACCATGGAGATAACGGAGTTTGCTCCAGCGCCAGAACCAGGCTCACCGCAGCAGCACAGAGCTTGGCCTGGGGTTGGTTTCCCATGCCCACGATCCTGTCCTCAGTCTGCTTTGCTAGCCCTTCGTTTGGCCCTTCTCAGCCCTGCACTTAGCTGGGGCTCAGAAGACAGTGTGGTTACAAGCCACAGTTTACCCTCACACTCTTGCTGCAGCTGGCACAGGCTGAGCGGCCCACAGCGACAATATAACCAATATGCCAGCGCAAGAGAAAACCAGGACTGGCAGGATCTCCTCCCCGCTTGGCCAAGTTCAGGATGTGAGAGGCAAGGCAGGAAGGGAGAGAAGCCCCTGACACGCACCTACATGACAAAGAACCTGCCATAAGACTGTGTTCCCCATTAATTATAAATGAACATTTCCAGGTTCAGCTGGAATGAACAGAGATACCTCCTTTACCATGCATACATGTGTTGCACATGCTGGTATTACAACCTAAAATTGCCTGAAAGAGCAAGTTTCTTCTCCACAGTCACAAGAGATCAGATACACTGTTATGCTGCTGGGAAAGGCAGGCCAAAGAGCTTATCACTTTTAAGTCTCATAGCTGAATACTAGGCCCTATCAGCTCTGCAAGTTTCTACCTGGCTTGGGAAAGTCAAATCCCTTTTCAAGTCTTTCCTCTTTCTGCATCTGCAGAGACTTGGGAAGAGCCTGCTCTAGTTTTGCAGCACAGCTGCTCTTTTGAGTGTCAGGCTCTTGAGCGCTGAGAGACTGCAGGCCTGGTGAACTTCAAACCTCTCCAATACTCCCAGCAGACAATAAGCTTGCTATCCGTACACATGCAGCAACCCAACTCTCTTACCCCTCTTGGATAGGCTGGAAATGCTGCGCTAACATCCCCTCTGCTGGGATTTAGCCAGCCTCCTCATTTCAGGAGGCCAAATTCTGCTGCTCACATGTGGCCTGAGCACCCTGGGATCTGGGGAGAAGGGGTTCACACCCCACTGGGGCATAGCCACCTCAGCACTTGCAGAGCACAGCCAGGAGTTGGTGGTGTGATGAAAAATCATTCCAACAGAGGATGCTTTGTGTCAGTTTTACAGTGTTCAGGTTTAGTGGAAGGACAGATCCAGGGGGCAAAGAAGGGTCTCACTAGTCTCGGGAAGCCTCTCTGCTTTCCCATAGACCTCCCTGTCAAACTTTGTCTTCTTTATCCCTTATACATCTACAGAACAAATCAAAGGAAAAAAAAATGAAATAAAGGAGCTTACACTTTTCCAGATTCCTGTAGCATCTCCAGCCACTGACCCTGCTCAAACTCCGATTCAGCTGCTAGAACAATATTACCCTGGGGAGGGCAGAACAAACAGAACAAAACATAAAAACAGATGAGAGAGTCTGGTGCCTGTACATGCCTATGTGCACCCAGGATGCAAACTGGACACAGCTATCACAGCTGGGAGGAAAGCCTGCCTCTCCCACAAACTTCCACCTCTGTGGGAGGCATCACATGGGAGTAAATATGACTAAGCCCTACCCCACATTATTGTTTGGAAGGAGATTCACACAGCAGGTGGCCCTGACAGGAATAAAATGATAGGGAAGGAATGAATCAGGGCCTGGAAAGAGTTGAGGAGGGCTCTCAAACATCTCTCCACTGGTTTGCTAATATCCCAAGTCCTGCAGCCAAAAGGAGCTAGTTTCCGTGTTGGTAGTCAAAGCAGGACTGGTAGCAAAGCCATGAGGGGACTTGGGATACTAAACTGCCCTTTCTCAGGATGGTCTGCCCAGAGAGGTTTGGCATATATTGGTGGGGTGGGAAGGAATTGCCAATCCAGCCCTGCTCACCAACAATAAGTGCCTTTTTTTTTTTTTTTTTGAGAAGAAGAGAAGAGTCTACCTACGTGGAAGTCTTCATGAGAGATCTTTATGGCATAAGGCATGCTGGGCTCTTCTTTGGGTTCCACGATGCAGCCTCCCAGAGGTATGACACCCTGGGGACAAACCAGAGCACTTCAGTCAGTCAGTAATACTTACCAAGTGTAACCAGTAACACCTGATCAGGAACTGAACTTTCACCCTGGGACAGTTCTGGGCCACTGCCCTGCCACAGAAATCCCAGGAAGGCTGGGAATTGTACTCGATTCTTGAAAAGCAGAAGCACTCCTGCCATCAGGAGACCTTGCTGCAGTATCTGAAAGGGGATAAAGATGGCTCTCCTCCATTCAGCTTGGAGGGAAGGCTGCTAGCTGGGACATGGAAATGGGAACTCTTTTATCAAGAAGGAGGTGATCTCCCCATAGGTGGTGACATGGCATCAGCCATACAGATTTACATCACTCATGTTAACATAGGAGAGAGGTGCACCCTTACAGTCACCAGCAAGTGAACACCCCACATACACAGCGTTGATGAAGGGGCAGTTGGCTGCCCCTAACCAGGCTGGATGAAATCAAAACCTTTGGAAGCACACATGCTTCATCAGCCTCTAGTGACTGCAGGCTACAGAGCATAAAAGCAGACTCAGAGCAAAGCCACTCTGCGAGAGCTTGGAGGCAGAGCTATAGAGGCTGCTTCTCGGTGCCAAGCACATGCGCCTTAGTAGGCAGCTTGCTCATGAGTGTGAGCACAGGTTAGGAACAACTAGCAATCGTCAAAGCAGTAAAGCACTGCCACTGGCTTTGTCACCAGTTAGTCTCATAGCCACAGCATTAGCCAATTAGGAAATCAGGCAAGTCAGGGGATAAGCCTACTATTGGGTAAAAAGTATGTAATAGAGCTATGTGCTTGATGAGGCAGTGAAGAGCCTGAAAGAGGTACTGGCCTGATCCCACTCTTTTGAGGCTTCCCTGATCTGTGAGGAGAGCAAGACTTCCTTTTCTTCACTTGCTAGGCCTGTGAAAAAACAGCTAGAAACAGAATAACCTTCCACTCTCCCCTGCAGACTCTGCTCACCTTGGGGTGGATATTGAAGTATTTATTGCTTTCAAAACTCTTTTTCTCACTCTCAGCGTAGTAGAGCAGGAAACTTTCCTTAATGATGAAGAACCTTTAAGAGGAAAAAAAAAATCCTGCTAGAATAGACTTCTTGGTTCATCACAGCACAAGAAAATCTCCACCTAACTAAAGCTGCTTTCTGAGCAGAAGGGTTTATTATTCCCATCGACATTTAAGGTGAGGTGCCTCACTTCAAAGCCAAGTGCTAAATGTTTAACTACTAAGTTGAAGTGCTTTGCGCTTCCAGTTTACCACAGCATGCATGCACCACTGTCGAAGACAAAGCGTAGTACCATCTACTCACAGGGGAACTACACAGTGATCTGTGCCCAAGAGAGGATCACAGCTCCAGTGTTTTGGCATCTTGACTAGCGGGTGCTCAGTCTGGACTATGTGTTGGATTCAATCTATTGGAAGAGAGCTGCTCCGTTTCTTAAGGATCTTTCTCACATGAGCTAAAGGCAACTAAAATATTTTTGCAATCCACACTCTGCCACCCTCCTTCCTCTCACCCCTTGCCAGCCCACAGCCAAAAGGCCAGTGTTCCCACTGTACACTGAATCATACAACAAGGAGGGTCACAGGTGAGCATCTCCAAGGGACTCTCAAGGGAAAAGATTTGGCATAATAGCTCTCAGAAGCAGAAGTAAATTTCAGAGATATTTTTAAGCTGAGCTCCTGGCAAAGCTTCCTCTCATTGACCTCTGGAAATACAAAGGAAATTGAATTTTTTTTGATAGGCATCACATTAACAATGTGCCTTGTTCTGCTCAGTTAACCTTAGATATGCTCTGATAAACACTCTATAGTAGCCACAAAATATCACAGCTGCTGTAAACCAAACCTCTAATTTACTGCAGCATGTCCTCAAAATTGTGAGTAAATGAACACATTTTGGATGTTCAAAAAACCCCTGGGAGAGTCCCTTTTCCTCTAATGAAATTAAGGTTGTATTTACCCTGCAGGCAGTGGAACAGGGGAAAGATATCTGATTTAGCTGAAACTAGGTCTAAATATCAGCAGCATTAAAAAATGCTGAAAAGTAGTAACTTTTCTGAAAAACTAACTGTAAAAAATGCTGAAAAGTAGTAACTTTTCTGAAAAAGTAACTGAAAAAAAGTAACTGAGGACTAGTTTAGTGGGGACGTTTCAAAAGAATGAATGATATAGAAAATATTTTGCACTGTCTGTACATCTTCTCTGACATGATATAAGAGAGAGTTGGGAAAAAACTGAGAGGCAATACACTGATAATTTATAAAGCAGGCCTTTTTACACTGCACAATACACTGCTGTGTAAGTCACTTTCACAAGATCACTTTCACCAACGACGAAAAACTCAGGAAGATCTGGGGAGGAGACAGCATTTCTGTGAATAATGAGAACTACCCCAAGAAGCCTTCCTGCTTCAGGGCAGAAAGCATCCACTGAGAGGGATCAGGATGAAACTTCTCTAGGCAGCACCTTCCAGTTGCAGCGTTTGGGGTTTCCTGAACCCTCCTCTGAAGCCCCTGATGTTGCCACTGTCAGAGATGGGAAATGGGCTTAGAGGCCTGATCCACTGGGGCAATTTCAATACCTCCAATACCTTCCAACACCCCATCCCCATCCCAATCCTCTCCCAAAGCAGTTGCCCATCATATGGAGCTGAGCACTGCCTCCAGCTGCGATGAGCACAGCAATTCAGTAGCAACTTAGTTCATAAAGCAAAGGAGAGAGTTTGAAGCTGAAAGAGTATTATCAGGCGTAGGCTGGCTCAGGAGGAAAGCTTTGGCACTCCCATTAGCCCCTATCTCTCACTCTTCTGCTGTGGCATGGGCAACATGGATGAAATTGCCCCATGCCCTGGGAACCCGTGCCATGCCAGCATCACAGAGGCACTGAAAGACAGAAGACTGGGAGAGAGCTAAAACTTCTCCCAATGCCTGTAGCAAGCTTGGGCTCTGGACCTGCTGTGCACTTGCTACAAAATCTTTTAAGTGACAGCCATTGAACATCTGCATTTTCACATCTGGAAATCTTCAGAATGTAAAACAGCCAGCAGACAGACCCTGGGGCAAGCTGGAATGAACTGACCAGCTTCCTTGATGTCATTCACTGGATCCCGAAATATCTCTGAGACACAGCAAAGTAGGAGTAAGAATACTATTTCTAGACCTATTTTTATATCCTTCCACCGACATTACACTCAATTAGAACTGAAGTTGAAACTCTTAACTGGCCTAAATATGCTGGCATGGCCTAAGACCATGAGCACAGGATGCAGAGCAACCACTCTTTCTGTATTACTGTGAAAAGTGCCTAAACACACACAGGGAGTTGGACTGTCCCTGTGGCACAATACATTTTCCCTGCAATGGAAACCACCATCCCAAATCTCTCATCAGCATCACAAGCTGGGACTAGAACAGTTTTCTCATGACAGTGCGCAGGGAAGGCAGGGAGCATCCCAGAGGAGGTGTGGGGCTGAAACATTCCCACGACTTTAAGACATTGACAAACAAAGCCCACTTAGCACACTGGACAACTCTGTGATTCATGCTTCTGAGAGAGCGGACCCATGTAGGTTCCACCTTGTGTGAGACAAAAATTGGTATTTTCCCATATATTTGCATTAATGGAAAACGCAGCCTCATCTCCTGCAGCAGCCTCAGAGCCAGCCCCATGGGAGTCGTGCAGTCTCCATAAACCGGAGCCACCTGATGCCCTGTTCAGGACATCAGAAAGATCTCCAGAGAGCAGAGAGGGCTTGTTCCCAATTCCCTCTCTGCACTGTTTCTGTGAGTGGTGCTTTTTTGTTATTTCTGCTTCCCACCTCTTGTCATTAACTCAATAGTAAAGTCCTCACATGAGGGGTTGCGCCTTCACTATATTTCTAGCACCTAGTTCGAAAAGGACTTGACTTCCTACTGGAAACTCATACCCCAACTGCCCAATAAGCAGCAAAGTAATACCTTTAAACAACATCCTCCTCGGCCCATGGACTGTGGGTCAGACAGTGAGCCAGATACTCAGCACAATCGAGAAACTGAGAAATATGAAAAACACAACACACAGTCTAGTAGAAAGTCTATTGATTGCTTTCAATAGTCCTTTCAGTCAGAACAACCTCAGAAAACATTTGCAAGACAAGTAAAAATATTGATCTTTGACTATGTATGACTGCTAATCTAAATGACCTCCTTTAAATCCAGGCTCTACAGTTTACTTACTTTCTGGCTGGTCAATGCTGCTGAAAATCCCCATGCTTTAGATTATGCTCCATTTAAAAAGCAAAATAAAAACAGGAACAAAGCACAGTACCAATCTCTGAGAATTGCTCTGCCTCTGGTAGATTAATGAAATTTTGTAATCTCTGACCTCACAGACATGGAGAGAATCTGTGGTGATTTGGAGTGAAAATATACAAAATAGAGTTAAAACAATAAATAATGGAAAACAACCCGCAATCAAATAACGAGGGAAAAAACACTGAAAATCTGTTTAGCTGCTGGGCACGTCCTTGTGTTTATGCTCATACCATATTCCTTCATCTGTCCTTACCTAAGGGGCTACACTTAAGTAAGCAAGATTACCTCTTTATAATTTTGACTTTTAGGACAAAGTCTCCCTATAACGATGCGAGAACAATTGAAGCAGCACAACACGTGGAGGGATGAAGGGAGAGGAGGAGGGATGAGGGAGAGGAGCAGTACAAACTGCAAGACTCAAGAGCAAGCTGGTGGAGAGACTAGAGCAGTGCCCAGGTCAGCAGGAACAGGAAAGGCTAAGATGCCAAGGGGGAACAGGGAGAGACCCCCAAGGAAGGCTTGGGATTGAAATGCTGGAAACAAGGAGTACGTGGCAGAATTAGGCACAGGCATGCCAGGGAAAGAAGAGGGAGTGCTGGAAAGACAGGAGAAGACTTTGAATAGCAAAATAAGCAACTCAGGAAGAACAGAGAGAAAAAACAGAGCAGCACTTAAAAAGCCAGGAGAGCACTAGTAAGATGAGAAAGGAGAGAAGACACTGGCACACCTAGGCATGCTTTGAGCAAGCTGTACATGGGATACAAGAGCTGTTCATGCACGGTCCATCCCTTTGGGCTATCCATCCCCTCTCATTAGATCCCATGCTGCCTATATCCAACAAGCACGTTTCTTAAATCCACACAGGCGTGAAGGGGTGATGCTTACACCCACATCACCCATGTTTTCATTGCCTATCTTCCTCATTTTATGGCCCTGTCCCTGGAGTCACCACAAACAGGCCAGCTTTCCTGCTGCAGAACGACAAGGCTGAAATGAACTCAGGGAAGCAAATGCCCGTTACCTCACACAACCAGTGCTGGGGTTACACTGACACCAGAGCTGTTGCATAACCTAAACCCAGCTGATGGAGGACTCCAGCCTGGAGTTGCTGGGACTGACAGCGTGGCCAGGTTGTGACCCAGCCGCACAGCCACCCCACCCTGTGTCTGGCCACAAAAGGAACCTCTCTCTGCTCCCTTTGGGCTTCCCAGAGCCTCTCCTTCCCCATCTCAGCTCTCCAGAGAGTTTATCCATCCTGATTTATGTCTCTACCATATGAGGATTGTGGTACTTTGTAGCATCAGGATGGTTGGTCCTCCATGCTGTACCTGTTCTTAAGAGATCACTAACACCACATTGGAATTAAATAGAATAGAGGAGGAACAGTTACAGAGTGACATGCATATAAAGCCAGAGATGTGGTCTGTCAAGATTAGACACAGCAGATCCATATCGGGCAAGTGGAAATACCTGCTCTCTGGGGATAAAGTGCTTTATTTCCGTCACAGATGGTTAATTAGACTAATTAGCTAATCCTCATAAAACTTTTTGAGGCAACAATGGTCCACGTTAAGTATTTACACTGTAAAACTGCAGCCTTCTCACTGGTCCTTCAGTCTAACGGTGGTTTTCTGGGCACTAGTCCAGGAGCACACACAGCAAATCCCAGTTGTTAGATCAGCCCAGTTCTCTCACCCTAGGGACAGCTCAGCAGAACTACGGGAAAAATGAGCTTTATCAGCAGGTCTGTCGGGAGACCGCAGTACTCGTCATTCACTCTTCCTCTCATGCCAATTTCAGGCTTTCCTGTCAGTCTTCTGTCCTGGTGCCTTGCAGCTGGAGAAGCTCCCAGCGTGGGCTGGTACCAGGAAGAGGTGGATGCTTCCTGGCCACGACAAGCCAAACGGGAAGCTTACAAGGGCAGGAGGGAAGCAACACGGTCTGTTCAACTCAGAGCCCCGTTGCCTCAGCAGTGCCTACTGCCCACACGCGGCAGGCACACGCTGTGCTCTTCAGCAG